TATATATAGATCTATATATAGATATATATCTATATATATTAAATACAGCACAGTTTAAGAAAGACTTCATGTTTTTATTGAAAAGGTATGTAAATTAAATGAATGCTTTTTAATATGCCTACACTAAAAAAACTTAAAAACACTCAGGCTCATATTTGAACTGTTGTAATGATATTTTGTTGTATGTAGAAAACAACCGTAACCTAGCTAAAAGTTTTCTAGAAAAAAAAATAGAAATTGATTTGAATACAATACAGATGTTCCTTTATGAATTTTTGAAAATACAAAGCTAGTTGTAGGCACAATATTGTAAACTGTGGGAGCTAAATGTATTCCTCAATAAAAAAATATATTCATAAGAATTATAAACAATCCGCTTCTTTAATTTAACTAACTGGAACATTATAATATTTAAATGTTGCATCTGGTGAATCCTACAAATTTCCGGTTTTAATATATACCGCTGTAATGTAATTAATTTGAATTTAGATTTCAATTGTTAAAATATTTAATGTTAACATTTCCAGTGCTGCATATTGTTAAGAAAAAACGTGGTTCATGTATTTATTTCCTGGATTTCCTGTGTTGTAAAGTTAAATGAAATAATAACTTCTCATTATACTGAAATCAATCTAACTTCTGCTCTTGTTAAGAGACATGTGGTTTTTAAAATGAATTTTTTTCTTACCTTCCCCATTTTTGATGCACTTAACAGACTGACCAGGGTACATCTCAGGCATTTTTTTCTGCTTCTATTTAAATGTATTATCACAAAGCTAAGATTTGCATATATGAATAGATTAAGTTTGGATTAACATATACAGTATCTACATCACATCAGATGGTTGTGTTGCTCTCTAGGCATCTATTATTGATTCTGCTGACAGCTTCTCTGATTCACAATTGTTTGATTGGTCACTGAAATCCTTTTTTGAACCTTTGTATACAAAATCTCTAAAATAAATGCAAGCACATTCACTGTAAAACAGATTGTTGTCTTTTATCCCAATACAAAGAAAAGCATTAATTGTAATGCTTCTCTTGAGCTTTTCTGCGACTCTATGCAGAAACTGCATGGACAGAAAATACAAGAGACTGCAGGTCAGATCAGGACAAACTGTAGTAAATTGGCAGCCTTTTCAACCCAGACATTGCACTGTATTCTCTCTCTCTTAAATTTTTTTTTGTGAATTCTAGATTATAAATCGTATAGTAAAATGGTACCTGTTGTCTATATACAATATGAGTGTTATATATTATTTTCATATTCTAAATATGACTGAGTCTAAAATAAGCAAAGATCCACAAGAATGGTTTAGAATGAATTGCATCTTTCCTGCTTTTAAAATGTCGTTGTACCAAAAGGTAAGTAGAAGAAAAACACAGCTCCAAATTCCGCTGAGCAACACGATCAAATCCAGTGTGCTGGACAAAAAGGCTCACCATTGCCTGAACTGCATATAAGATGACAGCACTTTGCAGATCTTCGCCAAAGTACACAAAACTTGATTGTGGATACCAACAACACACTGTGTAATGTCCCTACATGCATTTAACATGTCACGCATTTCACCACGCATATGATGATAGAGGTTGGGCACGCATGGAGGGATATTATACAGTGTGCTGTTGGTATTTACAATTAAGTTGTGTGTACGTTGGCAAAGATCCGTGGAGTGTAGTCATCCTTTCTCTCATGTCCTTGTACCAAAGTTGCAGTTTTAACAGAGCCAGTGCATATCATTAGAAGACAGTTGGATGTGCAAACATGATCCAATATTCATAAAGAGGAATGCATGAGCATTCATTTTTATAATGACCATGGGGGG